CTGCTCCAGAAACACTACTCCAGGCTATCTTATTGCCTATGTTTTGTATTTTCAGAGTTTAATCAAGAGACATTTCTCAACAAATACATATAAACAAAAAAGAACCCACTCAACTCAATATTTTAGATTTACAAATAAAAAGCCAGTAAGGTTACACTTTAAAACTAGCTATTTAGCTGCTCCCCTGCTGTGAGCTCCCCACACAGGTTTCTCCAAGGTCAGCTGTGAATTTGGCTGTTTTTTATTTTTCTGTCAGGAACTCCAATGTCCAGAGATACTTGAAACTAAACAGCGGAGCAGTCAGCTGTGCAGGTTCATGGCTGGGTTGGAGAGCTCTGCAGGTTTATTTCTCTGTTTTGATTCACTTCTCACCGTGTGGTCACTGGCTTTGTCTCCCTTCCTCCTTTTTTAAAGTGCTGTGTTTTGATCTTTTCTCCCAAAATTCCAAAAGAATGCAACAGTATATAAGAGTAATTGCTGCTCCTAGCATTCAAGGAAATCAACTCTGACACTGAAAATACCTCAAAAAAAGGAGCAGCTGTTACAGCCACAAGTTTTCCTGTCCTCCCAGGACCTGATTAGGTGTACTATAGAACTCTGTGGGAAGCTAGGGAAGTGAGTGCCAAGCCTCTTGCTGAGATATTTGTATCATTGATAGCCACAGATCAGGTGCTGGAAGACTAGAGGTTGGATAATGTGGTGCCACCATCTAAGAAAGGTGGTAAGGAAAAGCCAGGGTAGTACAGACCGGTGAGCCTGACATTAGTGGTGGGCAAGCTGTTGGAGGGAATCCTGAGAGACAGGATTTACATGTATTTGGAAAGGCAAGGACTGATTAAGGATAGTCAACATGGCTTTGTGCATGGGGAAATCCTGTCTCACTAACTTGATTTGAGTTTTTTGAAGAAGTAACAAAAAGAATTTATGAAGGCAGATTGGTAGACATGATTTATATGGAATTCAGTAAGGTATTCAACAAGGTTCCTCATGGTAGACTGGTTAGCAAGGTTAGATCACATGGAATACAGGGAGAACTAGCCATTTGGATACCAAACTAGTTCTAAGGCAGAAGACGGGGTGGTGGTGGAGGGTTGCTTTTCAGACTGGAGCCCTGTGACCAGCCACAAGGATTGGTGCAGAGCCCCTTTTTGCCATTTATATAAATGGTTTGGACATGATTGCATTCTTCTGTAATGTAGTGACCAGAAAGTACTGCAGCTAAAGCCTGGTGTTTGCACAATTTTTGCATAACCTCCCTGCTCTTAACTCTAGGCCTCAATTGCTAAAGGAGAGTATTCCATATGCTTTCTGGTCCATTCTATTTACCTATCCTACCTTTATCTATTTGTCTACCATTTTGAATGTGATGCCACCATCTTCAATGTGAAGCCACTCCCATTTCAGCATTCTGAAGGGACCATTCCTTCCACAATACCATGGTCTACTCCTCAATTACTTCAGACTCTTCTTATGAACATAGGATACGTAACACTTGCCATTTTACATCCTCTCCTCACAGTGTAAGGTCCCAGACTGCCATCCAGCTAAAGCATTGTTTATGTACATTTTCAGTCTAGTCTCTTTTTAATTAGGGTGGCTAATTGCAGATTGGGTGTGCATTTTGTGGAACCCTTAGATCATTCCACAAAGATGACCCTGAGTTTCCTGTGGCCTGTCATTTTAATTCTTCACCTTGCTTTCACATTAACAACTTTGTGCTTTGTCTGCTGCACTGTCCATTGAAAAGTTCTAGTGATGCTTAAAGTAAGCTTGAGGAACAGCACTTTCTTTCAGATACTTTACACCCTTGTGTACTCAACAATTTCAGACCATCGTTTCTGATGATCATTTTGTTTCCTTTTCTTTGCACTTTTTGGCCTTGCTCTTGTATTTGCTTTCTGAGAGCTGCTCAAGGAATTTTTTTTGTTTCTTCTTTTTTTGCCTCATTATTATTTCCTTTGGCTCGAAGATAACTTTTTTTGTCTGACAATTTCTCCTGTCTTTCACCATATTGCAAATCTTGCATTTTTATCCTTTCCCACCCACCTTTTCACTCAACACATTGCATCTCTAAATTTTATTAGCCTGAAATGTTAACTTTGTTTATCTTCCACATATGCTGCCTGAGCATTTTCTGCTTTTGTGTTGTTTGTTCAGTCAGTTTACTGACTATGTGATCCAATTTTGAAAACAGGTTAAAACTAGAGGTGTGAACAATAACAACATACTGTGACTTACTCTTGTGACTTTTAATATTATTTGATGCTTGTTAGAAATTACTGACCTAGGACATGTACCAGGCCATGCGCTATTTTCATGTTAATTGAATTGTGTTACATAGTATTTAGAATGTTCCTTTATATCTCATTCATGGTTTACAGATCCTTTGTATTTTTCCTTGCCAGTTTGATTCCATTTAGGAAGGCGGTTGATGTATTTTAGCACATTTCCTATTTAATGCAAGATTCAAAATGACATGTCTGTTGCAAGGATATTGTAGTTGGATCCATTCACATCTTTGTTGTGGTGCATCTGGATAGCAATGAGACTTAAGAACCCTATTTTTTTTTTCCTGGGCAGCTGCTGTCATTCAAAATTGGGGATTGAACCTGAGGCTTCAGTCTATGAGACTCATCTTGTTTTCAATGGTTCGTACATTTGTGGGTTATATGGACTTCAGTACTGTATGTTTTCAAACAAATGACGGTGTTCATTGTCATTCTAGTTTCAAGAGCCAGTAGTAAACTTTCTCAGGATGAATTTAAACTTTAATTAAAGTAGAACAGCTAAGTATAAAATCTAATTTCCTGTTCCAGTTTCATGGCTAACTGTTCCAAGCCATGCATGGATAAGTTTGTACTTCTACACATTTTATGATTACCTAACGATGGATTTGCAGTCAGCCGTGAGGGATAGTATTTGTTGCTGACCTCAAGTTGCCCACAAATACCTAACAACCTTCGTTACGTTTTTCCCATTCCTGGGTTTAAATCTGCCACCAAGTTGAAATTTTTTGGCATGCAGCAGCAGGGATGTGAGCAAATAGGCTAGCAGCTAATCATATTAAAGCTTTCAGGTGAAGCAAACTAGAAAGACAAAATCAGTTAATAACCTTTTTCATTTATTTTGGCAAACAAAAATTAAATGTTTGGATTAAGATAAGACTAAAATAAAGTTAAACTACCTTTTTTAAAAAGATTTCAAAATTATGTGGAATCTTTTTGTAATGTGGTGAAATTAGAAACTTGCCAAACATTAAAATAAGCTTTCTAGGCCAGTGAGGATGTTGAGCAATAATTGTGAAATTAATTCTCAGTTTAAAAAGCAAGATCTAACTTTTTCAAAGATTTTTACTGAGACTAACAGCGTAATAGTGGATGTTCCTAATTCAAAGACTTCCTATTGATTGCTATCTGGAGGTGCCTCAGCAGTCTATGCTGTAGAAAAGAGCAAAACATTTAATAGCATTGTCTGGTTTTCCATGTTCTGCGCTGTACCGATTCCAAACTTCGTATTGTTAACCGTGTTAGTCAGTGTAGGATCTTGCGACTTATTTATGCAGTGGTCACTAATCTTAGCTGACCTGTGTCAGCCATGCCTGAGTGAGTACCATCTGACATCTCACAGTTGTGTTAGAAGGTTCTGGATTCAAGTTTCACTCTAGGATGTAACAAGCTAAAAGACGAGGCTGATAGTCCAGTCCTGAAGGAGTGCTTGGCTGTTGGAAATGCCACCTTTTGCATAAGAAATAAAATCAAAACGAATGGTCTGTCTCTGAGGTGGATGTAAAACATCCTATAACACTACTTTGAAGAAATACAGCAGTGTTTTTCTTGATGTCCTGACTAATATTTATCCGTGACTTAAATCTCAAAAATGGGTTATCTAGTCATTATCATAATGCTGTTTCTCTGAACTTGCTATGCGCAAATTGGATGTCACATTTCCTACATTACCGCAGTGATTTCAGTTTCACTGTAGATCATGACTGTGACATTCAGTGGCTGTGAAAGGTTTCATATAAACACAGTGCTTTTGTTTTTGAGATGTTATAATGAGTTTGGTCTTGTCAGTTGTGATTTATTAGAAGCATCTGAGACTCTGTTTCAGATGGTTGCAGATTTTAGTCCCATTCCTAAAATGTGAGCATATAATTTAAACTGGCACTCCATAGCAATACTGAGGGAATGCTTAGTTGCCAAACCTGCAGACCTTCAGCTGAGATTTTAACAAGAGACCTTAGCTGTCATTTCAGTTAAAAACAGGCTTGCATTGGTATAGCCCCATGCATGACCTCAGGACAGATGCTTTACAGCAATTGTATATTTTTGAAGTGTGGTTACAGTTAGAGGAAGTTAGAGGAAGAGCAAGGCATTCTCCTCTCAACCAAATCATTAAAGAAATTAGATAACTGATCAGAATTGCTGCCGGTGTAATCATGAATGCCTATTGGCTTTCCTTTATTGCAATAGCAACAATGCTTCAAATTATTTTCATTGATTATAAAGGGATTTGTGATGCTCTGAGAAAGATGGTAATAATCCAAATTTTTTGCATTGTGTGCATTAAATATTTTAATGTATTTAGTCAGTCATTATTGTAAAATAGAGTTTGTGAAACTACTGAGGGGGAAAGAATTCATTTTTAAGTGCAAGTAATCTGTTCACTGATGTTATTTTCGATTTTAAATAATCTTGATTTGCAAAATATAAAGCCAAACGTATTTTTAAATGAATGGATGTCTTGTCTACTTCATGCTTATGTTAACATTGTGTGAAGTGCTGTCTGTGCATAAAATATTTCAGATGTGAAATCTATTGAAGTATTTTTAGTCTTTGTTGGCTCGACTTGTTATAATGCGGGAATTGCACACATTGAATCATTTACTACTGTTAATGTTGGCTAATTTGTTTGTGTTTTTTCTTAACTATTGCTTTTTTGTGGAACAAAACTTAAATTTTCATTTGTTATATTTTTAAAACAAAAGTTCTTTTTTTCAGTTGACTTGGTGACGTATATCACAAGATTTCAATGGGACATGGCAAAGTATCCAATCAAACAGTCTCTGAAGAACATTTCTGAAATCATTACTAAGGTTAGTGTTGTTTTACTGTTTCAAACTTAATGTGGCTTTAGCGCAAACTCTGCATCATTCCAAGCTCCTAGCAATATTGCATGTAAATGCCAAAGATACTTCAAAAAGTTTGGAAATTTCTAGTTTTGTAATTCGTATACTCACATTGGATGCCTGTGGGAAGAACTTAACACCAATAATTCAGATTTTACTCTTGTTGCTAAGGCATTGTCTTGTAGTGTGACCGAATAATATGTATAACTTTAATGTCAATGATTCGGAGCAGGTGTAATTTACTGTATTTCGCTGGGGTTAATTGCAGGGGTAGTAGTGATACTCAGGAAAATAAAATTGACAAGTTTGTGTTTTATATACTGTTAGCTTTTTGATTACTTTAAATTGCAATTTAGTTTGGTAAGAATAGAGCTTTTATTCTGCAAATGTTTCCTAGACGTTTTATTAGCATTAGCTCATGTTGATTCTGATGTAATTTCCTTAGAAACACTGAATGAGCTGAATGTCAATGTCATGGTGATAACCAGGGGTTCTTAAACTGGGGTTCTGTTCATGGAAGCTTTTTGGGGCTCTTTGGAATAATGTGGAAATGCACCCTGAGTGACTGGCTAGGGCTCCATGGTACAAGTAAATGCATGATTGACGACAGGAGCAAGGTCTGGTTGCTACATGTGCACCTGGGGAGAGAGAGATTACCAGTTAGCAGTTACCAAGTCTGGATGCCGGGTAAGTTCATGCCTTTTCAAGAGAGGAGAATTTTTGAAAAGATATTTGCACGTTGCATCCTTAACTTAAGGGCACCAAATGACGAGATCACCTAGGTCATGTCGTTCCACATGTAGTACTATATATAACGAGTAATGTTTAATGTTATTATCTCATGATAGGCGTCTGTGATTACTTACTCAATGACAGATGTGCTGCAGTGCAGAAGGAGGCCATTCAGCCCATCATGTCTGCACTGGCTCTTCAATTGAGCATCCGTACCTAATGCCATGAGGATTGGTTAGCTCAGTTAGCTAACCAGCTGGTGTGTGATGCATAGACACCAATAGTGTAGGTTCAATTCCCATACTGGCTGAAGTGAACATTGGGTGGCGGGGATCCCATTTTCTCAACTTTGCCCCTTGCCTGAGGTGTGGTGAATATCAGGTTAAACTCACCAGCAGTCATTTCTGTCCAATGAGAGCGCAGGCCTCTGGACCTCTGAGGCATGTACTTTTACTTACTAGTACCTGATGCCAATCATAACTTCTGCATGCTTCAATTGAACCTGCCTTCATCACATTTGTGACAGTGCATTCCATTCCCTAACTACTCTGTGTGGAACAAAAACCTTTTCTCACTTCATATTTAGTACTTTTGGAAGTCACCTCAAATTTTGCCCTTGGTTCTTGTTCTTCCAAATGCAAGAACAGCTTTTCCCTATCTACTCGATCTAGCTCCCTCATGATTTTTGAAAACCTCTAACAAATCTCCTCTGAACCTTCTCTCCAAGGAGAATAGCCAGAACCTGTTCAGTCTCCATTTGAAAAAGTGTGCCTTATTCAAAAATGTTTGAGAACCATTGTTCGTAACAATTAGGCACTGATGCTAAATTTGATGTCCCAGAAGAACATACCTGTGCCCTTTCTGTGCAGTACTGGGAGTAACAGCCTTTGTGCTTCAGCAGAGGATACAAAATGGTGAGGAGCTGGCAACATTTGAGTTTCTTTGCAATGCTCTTGTTCTTGATGGCATTGGATTCTTGAATTAATATGCTTTGTTAAAGAGTTAAGGTTGAGTTGCAGGCATTATATCTTGTATTGTGTGGTCTGCTAACTACATGAGGCTCTTCACAAGAATTGTTTTCAAGTTTTACTTTTTTTCTCATCCTCTTGAATTGCGAATGCTCAGTACTGAGTAGATAAACATGTATGTTTGCTTGGGGCTAAATTTTAGATTATTTAGGTATTTTAGAATGGATTGAAGTCAAAACCTATAAAAGGGTGTCAAAATTAAAAGGGTACAACCTACATTTTCTCAAGACAATCCTTATAAACTATATTTCTGTTGTGCGTTGCTCTGTAAGATTTTATTGATCCATTACGTTATAAGTGTAATTCAACACTTCTGTAAAGTGCTTTGAGAAACTCTCATGTTTTATGGTTGCAGCTATCTTCATTGTGGAAGGGATTTTGTCGAAAAATGCTGTTAACAATGAATCCACTACATGTTTTGTTCCCATTGAATTCATATGTTCATTTTATACAAAAACGTTGTTGGGTTAAAAGGGAATCAGCACAATTTCACACCTGTGCTTTTATTATTTTATTCACTATTGGGATGTGGGTGTCGCTGGCTAGGCCAGCATTTAGTTGTACTTCAGAGAATGGTGGTGAGCTACCTTCTTGAGCTGCTGCAGGTATCAAATGCAATAGCTGAGTTCTGCAATGGTTTTGTATCAATCAATTTGGTCTTTCTTAGATGGCATTTGAATTTGTGGAATACTAAGACCAGAAGAAATAGGGACAGGACTAGGCTGTTCAGCTCCTTGAGCCTTATGTGCCATTCAATAGGATCATGGCTGATCTGTCACTCCTCACATCCACTTTCCTGCTCTTTGTTTATAATCCTTTATTCCTGTACTGATCAAGAATCTACCCTTTTCAGCCTTAAATATGCACAAGGACTCTGGCAAGGAGTTTCAAAGACACTCAATCCTCGAGAGAAGAAATTCCTCTTTTTCTGTCTTAAGTTGCCCCCTTAATTTTGGAACTATACCCTCTGTCTTGGACTTTCCCATGAGGGGAAATATCTTGCCAATATTTACTCTGTCAAGCCCCTTAAGAATCCTGTATGTTTCAATGAGATCACCCTTCATTCTTCTAAATTCCAATGAGTAGAATCCTAATCTGTTTAACCATTGCTCATAACAATCCCACCACGCCAAGGATCATCCAAGTTAACCTTCTCTGAACTGCCTTCTATGAAATAATCCTTTTCTAAATAAAAGGATCAAAACTGCTTTCATACGCCAAGTATGGTCTCATGTACAGTTGCAGTAAGACTTGCCTGCTCTTATGCTGCAACCCCCTTGAAATAAGGGCTAACAATCGATTAGCCTTCCTGATTACCTGCTGCACCTGTGTGCTAGCTTTGTGTTTTGTACACCAATCCTCCCAAGTACCTTTATGTTGCAGACTTCTGCAGTTTTTCTCCACTTAAATGCTACTGTTCTTTTGTTGTCCGTTCCAAAATGAACAACTTCACATTTTCCCACATTATACTCCATTTGCCAACTTTTTACCCATTTATTTATCAATGTCTCTCTGTAAACTATTTATTTTCCCCTGCAACCAGCCTTTCAATATATTTTTGTCATCTACAAATTTGACTATAGTACATCCTCTTCCTTTCTCCAAGTCATTAATATATATTGTAAACAGTTACAGTCTGAGCACTGAACCCTGTGGAACCCCACTAGTCACAGGTCGCCAACCTGAAAAAGAACCTCTTATTCCCACTTGCTATTTCTTGCCAATTAGCTAATTCTCTGTCCGTGTCAGTATACTACCTCCAACAACATGAGCTGTCATCTTATGACTTTACCTTTTGTGAATCGCTTGCTATGGTAGTTCACGTCATTTCTTCAGTCTGAATAGAGCTATATTTAATTAATGGGGTCTAATGTGTCATAAACTGTTTAAGAAGCTCTAAACATGAATGTCATTCCCAAACCCCAATGCTTCCACACTAGTCAGCTGATCAGTAATGCTGGTAAGAAATTTGATTGGAGGAGCATGAAAGAGACAGTCTGAAAGGAGAAAACAGCTAGTCACAGATTCTGACTTGTGTATGATTGTGACTTTGCTCAGATTTGATTTGCCACTTGAGAAGGGGATGCTGTGGCCTAGATATGAGTCCTAGTAGTTAACACTCTATCTCACTCTTCTAGATATCCTGGTGCTGAGTACTCACACCATCCATTGAATTTGGTCCCTCTTCTTTTTGCTAGCATTAGGCAAGGAATTCCTTAAGACCAAAAGACATTGACAAAGAAGTAGGACATTCAGATCATTAATTCTGCTCTGCCATTCAATGTGATCATGGCTGACCCGATTATCCTCAACTCCATTTTCCTGCCTGTTCCCCATATACCTTGATACTCTTATGAGTGAACCTTCTCTGCCTCCAGTGCCAGTATGTCTTTCCTTAGATAAGGGGCCCAAACTGTTCACTGTCACTGCGGTCTGATTAGAGGCTTGTATAGTTTTAGCAAAAGCTCCCTGCTTTTATAGTCGACTCCCTTTGAACTAAACCAGCATTCCATTTGTCTTCCCTATTACCCACTGAACTTGGAGGCTAGCTTTTTGTGATTCATGGACAAGGGCACTCAAATCCATTTGTTCTGTAGTTTTCTGCAGTCTTTCTCCATTTAAATAATATTCAGCTCCTCTTTCTGTCAGTGTTTAACCTCACATTTTCTCCTGTTATGTTCCATCTGCCAGGACTTGATCAAGTGTACCCTAGAACTCTCTGGGAAGCTAGGGAAGTGATTGCTGGACTCCTTGCTGAAATATTTGTATCATCGATAACCACAGGCGAGCTGCTGGAAGACTGGAGGTTGGCTAACGTGATGCCACTATTTAAGAAAAGTGATAAGGAAAAGCCGGGGAACTATAGACCAGTGAGCCTGACATTGGTGGTGGGCAAGTTGTTGAAGGGAATCCTGACGGACAGGATTTGCATGTATTTGGAAAGGCAAGGACTGATTAGGGATAGTTAACATGGTTTTGTGCATGGGAAATCCTGTCTCTCTAACTTGATTGGGTTTTTTGAAGAAGTAACAAAGAGGATTGATAAAGGCAGGGCGGTAGACGTGATCTATATGGACTTCAGTAAGGCGTTTCACGGTAGACTGGTTATGAAGTTTAGATCACACAAAATAGAGGGAGAACTAGCTGTCTGGCTTGAAGGTAGAAGACAGAGAATGGTGGTGGAGGATTGCTTTTCAGACTGTAGGCCCGTGACCAAGCAGTATGCCACAAAGTTAGTGCTGGATCCACTGCTTTTCGTCATTTATATCAATGATTTGGATGTGAACATAAGAGGTATGGTTAGTAAGTTTGCAGATGATGCCAAAATTGGAGGTGTAGTGGACAGCGAAGAAGGTTACCTTGAAGT